GGGGAAGGCTGGGTGAGACTGCTGGAGTGGGTTTCAGTTTGGAGCGGTCTGGGTAAACGGAGGGAACCCCAAGGCTGGGGTCTAAGCTCCCTGCTCTCCCCCCCCCCCGTTGCCCCCCCTGTCCCCGAGGGACCTGACTGAGGGGTCCTGGTTGTACCTACAAGCTCTGTTTGGGACTGTGTTCCTGTCATCTAATAAACCTTCCATTTTACTGGCTGGCTGAGAGTCACGGCGAATCACAGGAAGTGAGGGTGCAGGGCCCTGACTCCCCCACACTCCGTGACACCCTGATCCTGCATATATTTACCCAAATGCTTAACTTTAAACACATGACTTATGGCAATGGCACAACTCAGCTGCATAGTTAAGCCCATGCGTATGTGTTGGTAGGGCAGGGGGTCTAGAGCAACTTTGGAGCAAGCTGTAAGTAGCATTGGGGACGGTAGGGGAGCTCAGTGGTGGTGTAATGTCAGCCTTACCCTAGATTCCATACCAAACACAGCTCAGCTGGACCCAAGGATCAGAGCCTTTAAATCTATTTTAAAACAGTAATCAACCGTAGTGAGTTAAAAGCTGGTGGCTTCCACCTATTGCACCAGGCTAAGTGTTGAGCGAAACAGTTAGTCACTAATAATCTGAATGTTAACTGAAGCGTCTAAGCGTAGTTTTTTCTTTTTCTTTTTTGATTGTGTCTTGAGGCATTGAAGCATTCTTTTCAAAGTTGATATTTTCATTTTGAACTCACCATTTCCTCCCTTCTTGGTGGAGAACAGCATTGTTGTTCTGCAAAGAGTCCTTCTAGCAATGTGACAATCAGCATAGCACTCAAACAGATAGATGAGAGATTCTGAGATTGTTCATCTACAATATGTGCGTGTACTGGGCATTCAGCCTTCCAAAGCCTACACATGACACAATGAGCCAGCCTCTATACAATAAAGGAAGACTGATTTTGGGTGAGAATTACTTTACAAGACATGAGAGTATCTTGGTAATTAAGTCTAGGCTCTAGAGTGCATGTTATGATTTTATTTTATAAGTAACCATTTTGTTTCCAATACTTTTACTTGCTTCTGTTTGAATCGCTATGCTGTGTTTAATACACTTACACTTGTTTTCAGTATAAACATTGTGGCGGGTTGGATCACAGAAACCCCCTTGGGACGGATGTGCTGAGACTACTTCTAACTCATTTTCCCTGCCAGCTTGGGACTCCAGAACGCTGCCTGTTTGAGCCAGACACGCTAGCCTGCTACAAACCCAGACCCAGGTCTGAACAACGTCCCCCAAAAGCTGCAGGTTTAACTGAAAACAGTTTAAGAAGTGTTCCTGGCTCCAGCACTCAGATACCCAGCTCCCAATGGGATCCAACCCCAAAATAAATCCATTTTACCTTATATAAAGCTTGTACAGGATAAACTCATAAATTGTTCACCCTCTATAACACTGATAGAGATATATGCACAGCTGGTTGCTGTCCCCAGGTATTAATACATACTCTGGGTTAATTAATAAGTAAAAAGTGATTTTATTCAATACAAAAAGTAGAATTTAAGTGGTTCCAAGTAATAACAGACAGAACAAAGTGAATTACCAAGCAAAATAAAATAAAACACACAAGTCTAAACCTAATACAGTAAGAAAGCTGAATATAGATAAAATCTCACCCTCAGAGATGTTTCAATAAGCTTCTTTCACAGACTGGACACCTTCCTAGTCTGGGCACAGTCCTTTTCCTCTGGTAGAGCCCTTGTTCCAGCTCAGGTGGTAGCTAGGGGATTTCTCATGATTGCAGCCCCCTTTGTTCTGTTCTACCCTCTTATATATCTTTTGCACGAGGTGAGAATCCTTTGTCCCTCTCTGAGTTCCCACCCCTCCTTCTAAATGGAAAAGCACCAGGTTAAAGATGGATTCCAGTTTAGGTGACGTGATCACATGTCACTGTAAGACTTCATTGCCCACTTGCCAGCACACAGATATACAGGAAGACTTACAAGTAAACAGAGCCATCATTAGTCAATTGTTCGGGTTAATGGGAGCCATCAAGATTCCAAACCACCATTAATGGCCCACACTTTGCATAACTACGATAGGACCTCAGCGTTATATTTCATATTTCTAGTTTCAGATACAAGAGTGATATATTTGTACAAATAGGATGACCACACTCAGTAGATTATAAGCTTTGTAATGATACCTTACAAGAGACCTTGTGCATGAAGCATATTCCAGTTACATTATATTCACACTCATTAGCATATTTTCATAAAATCATATAGAGTGCAACGTCACAAACATATTTGAGTGCTCTGAGTTAAGTGGAGCGATTAACTGAGGTGGAATTGATAAGATAAGATGTGTTGTTTCTTTGGAAACAGTGAATCTGTGAATACTGGGGGGTCTCCTGTGAATCAGGTGCTGGACATTCCAAGGAAGTGATCAAAGGGCTGGGGTGTCCCAATTGCTAACCTGTAGAGTGACTGCAGGGCTTGTAAGGCCTGAAGGGAAATGTTTGGGTTGCTTGTGGCAGGTGTAGTCAGGGAGCTGACCCATGATAGGCACAAACATGGCTTCCTCACTCTAAGGGCAAGTAGTAGCGAGGTTCCTCACAGCCCTAGGTATCCTGGAGAAGCATCCCAGTAACCAAGGGCCAGATTTTCAAAGGTGTGTAGGTACCTAAAGATGCAGATAGGTGCCTACTGAGATTTTTCAAAAGTGCCTAAGCAGGTTTGGCATCCAACTCCCATTGAAATCAATAAGAGTTAGGCACATAGCCTGCATAGGTGCTTATCTGAAACTCTTGATTCAAAAAACTGGTCTGGAAATTTCCTGAGAACAGGTTTTCCCTTTACTTGGTCCCTGTCCAACATACCATTTTGACACTGCTTACAGGCTTAGAAAAATTAAAAATAATAGGGCAATGAGTTTGAAGCTCAGGAAAAGTTTGGTTATGGTTCAAGTTGGGTTGTTAATTTATTTGAACTGCTTCGCTCATTATTGCCCTATGTGGGGTTTTTCTGGCTTGTTTGTACTTTTGGTACATCTTTCTGGTTCCCTGAATGACAGCCATTATTTATTTAGCCAAGCATGTGTCTTGCGGGGCTGTCCCTCAACTCAGTCCTAAACTGCTAATTTCAAGGATCAGCAGTTCAGATGCTCTCTTTGCAAACTTGTTGCTCAGTTAGACATTTTAGCTCTTGATCGGATGTGATTTTCCCCTGATAAAGTAGTACATTAGTTCTGGATGTAGTCATAATATAAAAATGTGTTTTATTTGAAAGAAATGAATTTGAGAAGTGTTTCTTGCAGATATTTGTAGTTGTATTGGTCCTTGAGGAAAAGGTAGATAATGTGATGCTTACCTCTTAAAACTATAAACAGCTAGTAACCAAAATTAATTACCCTGAAGATCTAAACTGAATTGTTTTTCAGAAAATGAAAAGTTAGATTAGCTTAAAAATAATTAGTGTTATTACCAGGGAATGTAACTGAGTGCCTGAGATGAATAATGTAATTATTTTAGATTGTGTTAGATTTATGATGTTATTCATGGTTAGACTACATGTTTTCACTTCCCAGTTCAGAATAATCTGAGATGAACAAAGTGACAAGGCCTTAGACTTTGCAACTGTAAATCTGTTTCGTTGATTTTTGCATCAGAAGTCTCCAGTGAAAAGTGTGTATGTGTGGTTGTAGTTGTGGTGTTTAGATCTGGCCACATCTTAAGAAATTGCTTTCTTTTCTTACTACCAAAGAAATGGATTGACTCCATCCATTAGTGCATACAATATTCTTTCTTTCAGATAGAACTTGCTGTTCAAACTGATTAAGGGGGCTAGAAATAACTAAGAAACTTTTGATTTGTATTTATAAGGGGACTGAAAAAGCTTATTTTATAATGTTAATAATGTTGTTTCTCTTTTTGTGTGTGTTCAGGGTGGTGAGTTGGTGGGGAAATACATCTTGTGTAGCTGAGATAAATAAGGGACCCAGTTTTAAAGATGGTTATTACTATACATACTGTCATGCAACAGCTTTTAAAATTCCATTTGTTCATCACTGACCAATGTGATTTTAAAACTAAGGCCCTGCTTCAGCAAAGCATTTAAGCACATGCTTACCTTTAAGTTCCGTTGACGTAACTTTAACCACCATTAACATCAGTGAGCCTTTAAGCACATGCTTATTTACTTTGAATTGGGGCCTAAGTCTTGGATCAGCATTTTTTTTCATACTGGATGCCCAACAGAAAATCATCTTTAAATATACAGAATACTTTCTCAATCTCTGTATTCTGGTTTCCCTTTTAATCAAAATGTGAAGTGCACTGCAGTCTGCTTTCCTGTTACATGAAGTACACCCCACATCAAGCACAGCGGAACTGCCCGAAATACAATTTAATGTAATTTTCAAGAGTGATACAATATTCTATAAAGAAAGTCTCCAGAAAAGTCTTTTATCTCTGGGCAAGCAAATATTTTTAAATGAAATTATAAATGACTATAAAGCCACAGATTTAAAGTGTAACAACCACTTCAAGAAATGGTTTCCTAATGTAAAATATATATACACAGAGACATATAGATTCTCTCTCTCTCTCTCTCTTAGTTTTGAAATAAGAAATATAGGAATGTTTAAAAATGGATTTTCCCTGTTGTTGAGACTTTATTCATACTATTTTTTTGGGGGAGACACACCCCATGGCGCACACACCTCTTTTAAACCATGATGTCCTTTGTCCCTGTGTATAAGTAATTCTTTTTACCCCAAATGATATTTTAATTAATGTTGCTTTGAATGCTAACCATTTAAACTAAAATTGTGCATGTTATGGAATATGAATATAAGCTAATGCTTATTATTAAAATAAATAAAAGTATAATATGTTTTTGAAATTGGGTCTGGTGACAAAAATCGCCCAAGGAAAAGTATAAATAGTTTTAAACATATTGAAGAATCTACTTACACAGTTTCTGTATTTGTGTTTTTGTTTGTTTCAGGTGCTCATTGCCATCTGCTTACAGAACATACATGAATAAAGTGACACCCCAGACTCTTTCGAGCAATTGATAGGGGAAACTTTAACCTGAGAATGAAGAGAGAAACACTCAGCAGAACCGTATGATTGAAACCACAGCCCAGCCTTCTGTTGTTGGACAAGGCTTTGTCCTTTTGCCCTGTACGACCGATGTTGCAGTAGTTCAGATGGATCGCAGCAAGGAGGCAGAGATGGAATTACGAAGATCCTCTAGTCCTAGCAAGGTAAACAAGAGTGACATTGATGGAGACAAGTCCATGTGCCACAGCTGCTGCATCTGTGGCAAGAGTTTTCCTTTTCAGAGCTCCCTGTCTCAGCACATGAGGAAGCACACAGGAGAGAAGCCCTATAAATGTCCTTACTGTGACCATAGAGCTTCCCAAAAGGGCAACCTGAAGATACACATTCGGAGTCACAGAACAGGCACTTTAAGTCAGGGGCATGAGGTGGAGATGGGAGAAGCACAGCTTGGAGAGATGGGAGTCTCAGAAGGCCTTGACGGATGCACCAGCCCCACCAAAAGTACATCTGCCTGCAACAAGATTCTGAACGGGGCAACTCAGGCAGACAACAGCAAGATTTTGTTGAGAAGCAGCAAGAAGGAGGTTGTCACAGAGGCACCACCTGCAGAAGATGACAAGCTACCCACTTATCAGTGCATCTTCTGCAAAAACAAGTTTGAGAGAAAGAAAGACCTGGACCAGCACCTACATCAAGTCCATAAGCCGTACAAATGCAGGCTTTGTAGCTACATGACATTAAGAGAAGAGACACTGTTAAACCACATAGAGAAAGACCATATTACAGCTCAAATTCCAAACGGGGAAACTTACACCGAGAATTGCAAGAGTGAGCTGAATGCAGGGGAATTTCCTTGTGAAGTCTGTGGTCAGGCCTTCAGTCAAACCTGGTTTCTCAAAGCTCACATGAAAAAGCATAGAGGATCGTTTGATCATGGATGCCACATTTGTGGCAGAAGATTTAAAGAACCCTGGTTTCTCAAAAACCACATGAAATCACACGGTCCAAAGACGGGGAGCAAAAACAAACCAAAAAATGATTTAGAGCCCATAGCCACTATTAATAATGTGATTCAGGAGGAAACAATTGTGACTGGCTTATCTCTGTATGAAGTTTGCACCAAGTGTGGGAATCTGTTTACAAATATGGAAAGCCTAAAAGCACACAATGCTGTACACTTGAGAGCTCAAAGAAGCAGTACTGAGAACAAAGCTGAGGGGTTAATTGACGGAAGCCTAGATCCATCTGTAAATAAGCAGTTTTTCTTACAGTGCCTGAATCTGAGGCCAGCTGTAGGGATAGATAGAGTTACAAGTGGACAGCCTGGAAAAAGGGTAGCTGAGCTGGATCCAGTCAGTAGCTACCAGGCCTGGCAGCTGGCCACCAAAGGAAAAGTAGCGGAGCCTTCTGAGTATGTTAAATATGTGGGATGGGATGAAGTCCTTGCTGATGCAGATGTGACTTATGACAAGGATAAAAGAGAATATATTCTTGTCGGCCAGGAGAAGCGCAAGCGAGATCAGGATTCACCCAGCTCCTCCAGCAACCCCAAGAAGAAAAGCTGTGTCAGTGGGCGCTTGGAGAAGAACAGCAATGTGCAACAAGGAGAAAACTGTATCCTTGCCCAGGGCGACCTGGACTACAGACCCTCCTCAAGGCAGAGCAGAAGGGCATCCCAAAACAAGTCCACCGAGTGCTTTGAGTGTGGAAAGATTTTCCGCACCTACCACCAAATGGTGCTCCATTCGCGGGTGCACAGGAAAGAACGCAGGAGCTGCAGTGAGAGTGGAACCATTGCTCAGCCAGACCGGTATGGATCCAGCAGTGAAGAAGGGGATTCTGGTTCTGTTAGTGGGCCAAGCACTCCAGGCTCAGCGTCTGCCCCAGAAGATTCTGTGACCTCTGGAATGGGTGAGGAGGGTGCTGAGGACAGCTCTGAGGAAGGAGTACCTGAACCATCACTAGGTAAGCTCATACACAACATTCCCCCTCCCCCCCCCTTTTCCCTATGTTACCTTTTCTTTGTCTCTAGCTCTTTTAGATCCCATGCCTCTTAGCCTCCTGGGGCCTGAATGTGGGACACAGCAAGGCGCAAAGGATCAAAATGATAGATGAGTAAAATACCATAAGAAGCTTAAAATTAATGTGGATCAATTCTGTAGCCTAATTAACATTGTTTATAGTCTCAGCTTGATGATTCAGCATTTCTGATGTAAATAATAAAAGTGAGATCACAGGAGGTCTTTGCAAGATACAGGTAAATTTGGATTTCAAATGAAGGACAACTGAGAGGTAGCTTAGTTACCCCTAGCAACGCAGTTACCTCTGCTGTTTGCTTCACTATCTCTGCTGTTAGCTTCAGTATAGCAGTATCTTTCCTGGACATCTCCGGGCCCAATTTTGCCCTGATTTACACCCTTTCTGTTGTCAGTATACAGGGGTAGTTAGAGCACAGTTTGCCTGCTATAACCTTGAAACACATAAACTTGTTAATTGCTAACGAGAAAGGCATTCCTTCCTCTTTTCTTTTTCTGTGCTCTGCTTCCCCAAACTTGTGTTATAACTCTAAGGCTATAATTAATCTCTCTGGATTAAAGCAGTCCTCTGAGTCCAAGTCTGGCTAAATGGAACAAATTATTCCCCAAATAGCAGCAAAGTAAATATTTAAAGAAACAGTAAGCACTTTTATATCATTTTAAATTTTTGTTGTTTACTCTCCTTTGTTTATAATGCCCTGTTAGAAATGAGAGATAAACATTTCTTTCTTTACTAGCCCTCTGCTTTTTCCATTTGGCAAACAATGACATTTCCCCCCATTTTCTTTTTCTTTCATGAAGAACTAACTAATCCCGGTTTTGTAATGTTTAACTTGTTTTCAGGAGCATCAGTGAGGAAGTCACCAGCACAGTTCTGGGAATTTTTTTTAAAGATATTAGTTAATGTGTGCTTCCTCAACTGCCTAATGAATGTCATAGAAGAACAGCAACAGGTTCCAGGATCATGTATTAAGTTATATATTTGATCCTTATTGACAGCAATGATGATGTGTTGTTGAATATATTTTGTTACTGGATCATTTTAAGAGACGTCGAAGTTTGAGCCGAAACTACATGGCATATCCCTTTCTAAATGTAATGCTTAGATCAGGGGTCTCAAAGACGCGGCCCGCGGAGCTCTTCCCTGCGGCCCGCCAAGCTCCCCCCCCCCCCCCCCCCCCCCCCCCCCCCCCC